AAAATATTATAAAAAATTATAAATTATAATTTAAAATTAAAAATAAATACAGAAAATAAACATTCCTATAAATTTTTCTCAATTATACATCTAGCAAAAGCAAAGGAGAGAGAGAGAGAAGCTTTTTGAGAGGAGAGAGAGAGAGAGAGAGAGAGAGGGCGAAAACCATGAACGTTGAAGAGGAGGTCGAGAGACTCAAAGAAGAGATCAAAAGGCTTGGCAAGATTCAGGCCGATGGTTCCTACAAGGTAAACTAAACCCCCATGCTTTAATGTGCTCTTCTTCTCTTGCATTTTTCATTCTTCTTAGCGATCGTTCTGACTCAATCTGGATTTATCTGTTTTGTTATTTTTCCATGGGTTTTGATCTGTGCCGTTTAGCTTGTTTTTGATTTTTTTTTTTCTTTCTCAGATAACTACTAGTTGGAATTTCTAAGTTTTATTTCATTTTGAGGTAGACTTTATCTGCAGATGATAACTGTAAAAAACCATTCTCAGAATAGTCAGAACGGTGATGTAAGCATGTAGTCTATTTGCAAGCTTTTTTTTCTATTACATTTTGTTGTTGGGTCAGATTGTCAAAACTACATTGTGGATTGTTAGATATCTTTGGAATCTATTTTTGTCCTGAAACAAACTTTCTACTGGCAGATGCTTTTGGAATCCACAGTTTTTTTTTTTTTTTTTTTAAAGTTGAATCTTCATAGATGTTTGATTGTAAATTATATAACTGTTGAACTTATTTTTTATCCTAGGTCAAATACCATTTTTTTCCCCAAATTTTGAAACGTCCCGAAATGAGTCCCCGATCTATCCAATTGTCCATTCGATTGTTGAAAGCTGAACGGAAAAAGGCGTGACTTCATTTAACAGTCATGCCCTAATATGTAAAATCACAAAATTGAATCCCCTTTACATGTCTTTTTTCATCGAGATTTCAACGATCGAATGGGTGAAAATGACTAATTTGGGATGATTTGTTAGGTTGGAGACTCGTTCTTGGGATGTTTTAAAAGTTGGTAGCCAAAATGGTATTTTGCTTATAATTCGGGTATCAAAAATCAGATTAATAAGTTCGATGCACTTGACCAATGATTTGTAATTTTGTTTGTAAGTTCCTCTGTTGGAGTAGTGTAAAGAATTTGATAATTAACGTTATTTTTGGTCTCTCTTGTCAACATTTTGCATTGCAGCCCCATGTCATTTGATTATAGTTTGGGTGTATTCATCAAGTGAATTTGCTGATTGATATCAAATTTACCTTATAGTATTTCCTTACATATCAGACTGCAACAGTATTATGTATTTTCACTAGCTTTTAACCAATCTTTGATTCATGTACCAACTCTAAGACCATAAATTAGCAGTTTTTCATGGTAATTTCTGATTGTTTTTGTGAGAACAATTGCGATCACAAAATAACCACAGATGATCATGATTTTTAGCATGTTTTGATCAATATGCGTGAAACTACAATCATTTCTCAGTACGTTATTGGTGATGCTCATAACTTCATTTTATGTTAGTTTTAATCTATCTTGTTGACATTGAGCCTTCGACTCAACTTTCAATCAATAATTTTTGTTCTCTCAGCCTCCTCACACTTCTTTTCATCATATTTACAAGTACACCCTGCGCTACTGTAAGAACTTTATCGCCGTCCAATTGTTTGCACATTTTAGGATCATTCTACATTGATTAAGGTTCAATTTAGTATTGCTTTTGGAGGCCCTAAAAGTCCTTTACGCATAATGGAAGTAGTGTGTTTGGTAAAAGTGTCCAAAAACACATTGCGTAAATAGTAATACGAATGCACTTTTATAGTTATTTGGAGAAGTTTGTGTTTTTTAACTTTTCTTTCTGCTTCTGCTTCTGCTTTTGCTACAATTAAATGTAGAACTTCTTCCAAAAGCACAACAATCACAAACTAAGCCTCAGTCCATTTGGATATAATGTTTGTATTTCGTGTCTCTTGATGTAGCTCTATTCTAATATATATTCTCTTCCACTGAAGAGTTGATATTGACGGCCAAGACTAGAAGTCCTTAAAAATGCATCTACAAGTCATACAAAGAGAATAACAATTGCACGACTTTCTGCATTCATTTGAACCTCTTGTTCTGCTTCAAGCTTTTGATACTTGACACTGTTTTGACATTAGTTTTGATCTCTCTGAAGGTAACATTTGGTGTGCTGTTTCATGACGATAAGTGTGCAAATATATTTGAAGCCTTAGTTGGGACTCTGCGGGCCGCTAAGAAACGGAAATTTGTGGCATATGATGGCGAGCTGCTGCTGCAAGGAGTCCATGACAACGTAGAAATCATGCTCAAACCTTCCCCACAACCAGCAACATCTGCAGGTGATGCAGTTGCAAAGGCGTAAGGGAATTGAACAGTTCTTCAAAGGCTTGGTTTTTATGTAATCTTCAGCTTAAATATATGTGCTTTTGTGTGATTTATAATATCAAAGCTTAGATGTTTTGAGTGTAAAAGAAACTATAATATCAAAGACCCATGTTTTCCATCAAACAAGAGTTGTCTGAATGAAACAATCTGTAAAGGCTTCGATTGTTGACGCCTTTTATTGTGTTCTTCTGTGTATATATATGTGTGTGTGTGTGTCTATATATATATAAAATATTTGCTTTTGTCTAAAATAGGGACTTAAGCGGGATGTTTGTGAGTCTTACTGGCCTTAAAATAACTGAAATACTATTCCAAAAGGCGAAACTCGGATATTTTTGCTGTATCCAGATTCCAGAGGATATAGCTCCTAATATGCTCAAACCATGCAGACTTTTTCAACCTTTTGGGATATTTTTGCAGCAATTTTTTGCGAGGTTGTTTCTCATAGTACTACTAAATACTTGTTCAAATAGACCGTCTTGACGAAATTTTATATCATAAGTGCTTAAAAGCTATTTAATTGGAAAGTCGACTACCAAAAAAAAGAAAAAAATAATTGGTAGTGTAAGGGGTGCATCCCGGTAGGTTCGATAATTCTATTTCATTCTTCTTTTTTTTTTACTGGCCTGAAAAGATATCAATCAACTCACTGATCAAAACTCGGATTGAACAGTTTAAAATTATAGTTTAATTCTTGGGTGGGCCGCTCTCTATCTCTTATTTGTGTTAGGATTTCTTTGTTGGTGCCTATCTTTGAGGGCCATTCTCCGTTCTCGTTGTATGTTTTTTTTTCATATCTTCATCAGATTTTACTAATGAATCCGGTCTCAATTAAGGGGTTTGTCTCATGTATTATGGGATCATTCGCATTGGTGGTTGCATGCATCTTTTGTTTGGTTGAAGACAATTCCTCATTTCAAAAAACAAAAAAAAAAAAGCCCCAAAATTATATAGCTCTATAAATCATTATAAAATTCACACCTCATTATTTAAAATTACCAATACGTGAGAAAAATTAACATAGTACAAATTATAATTCTACAAACTGAAAATTTTAACATAATCCAAATTTACGAGTTCATAAAAGGGAGAATAAATGAAATAGCAGGATTAGTAAATTACAGCACAATTTTTTATAGGAAAATAGTAGAAAATAGGTTAATATGAAAAGCTTAAGAAAGTATATATGTCAATTTTTAGTTATCGAAATTAATAGGCTATAACTTGCCAAGTTATGGTTCATAACCAGATAAGTTATGGACAAACTTGTCAAGTTATAGTTCATAACCAGACAAGTTATAGACAATTATGGACAATAACTTGTCAAGTTATGGTTTATAACCAAACAAGTTATGGACGAAAACAGTAATTTGACCTATTTATTAACTTATGGAAACTATTGGTCATTTTAATTCATCTCAAGTCTTGGGCTATTTCCCTCTTTCTCCCTTTTTTATAACACATAAAGACATGTTTGATTGATCGTATTAAAAGACCGTATATAATGTTTGGTATGACCATCGTATTATATAAGTTAATACGTATAGTAAATTAATACATTTTATGTCGTATTATTGAATATGACTTATTTTTAGCATATTGTATTGTATTATGTTATAGTGGATTAATAATTTATGTCGAAATTAAACAATACTAGAGGTCGGAGTCAGGCTAACATAGGGTTAGACTGAAGCCTATATAATTGTTAAAAATTTGGGAGGTAAAATGCAAATTTTGTATTTTTCAAAAATTACATATTGACTCTAAAATTTTTCTAAAATTACATTTTGACCCCAACTTTTGTAAATTACACTTTGACCCAAAAATTTTAATAAAATTTCATTTTGGCCCCAAAACTTTTAAAAATTATATTTTGACCTTATAATTTTTTAAAATTTATATTTTAACCTCAAAAGTATTAAAATTTTACATTTTAACTCCTTACACAAACGTCATGACATCAAACACCATATTGTATTATGACAATACAACACAATACAATACACCTTATATAATACAATATAATACAATACAAGCTACCAAACATGACCGTAGTTTATAATATAATTTAATATCTTAGGCTTCCATCAATATTAACCCCTAAGGCATCTCTCTCCTTCCCCCCTCTAGTTAGGACCATCACGGTCAACTCCGATGACCGGAGGCCGACTCCGGTGACCGACAACCATCATCAACAGTCGGTAAATACTATATTTATTTAAAAATTCAGTCACCAACTCCAGTGACCGTTAAATACAATATTTACTATTTACTGTTAAATATTGTATTTACTTATAAATAGCATATTTATTTTAAAATTCAACCACTGACACTGATAATCGATAAATATCGTATTTATAAATAAAAATGATACTTACCGATAATATCATATTTATCAAAAAAGATCAAAGGTCGTCTTTCTCGACCGATAAATTATATATTTACCACAAAAAAAAAAAAAAGATGACAGAATCATAAAAAGTATAAAAACAGAGAAATGTAACAAAAACTCAGAATAATTGCAGATTTTCATCAACACAGCAAAAACTATTAATCATTATTCCCAAATTATAAACAAATTCTAAAATTTCCCACAATATGTAGTAATAATTTTTAAAAAAGCCCCAAATTTCTCAAGTCCTTACCCTAGCACCGCTAGCCAGGAAAGAAGTCGCTGCCGCCGTTAAGATCACGGTGAGAGAGAGGGATCTGTCGCCAGTCGTGCCTCCATCGCAAAATCAGCCCCAAAACTACTCTTCTTCCCAACAACCCGACCCCGCTGTCCAGACCCCGCCGCCCACAACCTCGCCCGAACCCGAGCATCATCTCCGTCAAACCTGCATCAAAGCTCAACAAAACCAAGAAAAAAACGTGAAAGCAAAGATCTCCAACGACGAGCGAGATATCGAAGAAATGGAGACGAGTTCTGGAACGGCGGAATCTGGAAAAAGAGAGGAATTTGGAGGATAACCAAAAAAATCTCGATCTCGCTGGTCGCCGCCGAAGGAGCTCGCCGGAGAAGGTCGCTTCACCGGATCTGGGATTGCCGCCGTCCGTCGCTCGCCGTCAGAGAGAGAGAGAGAGCGGGTGGTGGGGAACGGAGGGGAGTGGCTGGCTGCTGAGAGAGTCTAAACCCGTTCCGCGTTTAGAATTTAAATTTTAACTCTTAAAAATAATCACATCTAATTTTTTTATCATAATAAAAAATTTTCATATAAAATTATATATCAATTTAAATTAAAAACTCAAATTAATAAATTAAAAAGACCCTAAATAAAAAAAAAATAAAATCCTAAAAGGTATTGTTGTAAAAGAAACTTCATTTCAGATTGAAAATTAAAAATGTGATATAATAATTTATCACAAGTTCAAAAAATTGTTATTTACTTTAAACATAAGTATTAAATGTGCTATGGGTGTATTTTCGCATTATAAAATAAGTTTAAAGTTAATACTAATAGCAAATACAGGTAGCCAAGAGTCCAAATAGTAAATAAAATAAAATAAAATAAAAGCTATTATTTTACTTTATTTTATTTTATTTTATTTTATTCTTAAGTGCCGCTTATCTAAATTGAAGAATAATTCACGTTTAGTTTAATAAATTTAAAATTATGATTTAAAATTATTTTTATTTTATACATAAAATTATATATCAATTTAAATTAAAAACTCAAATTAATAAATTAAAAAGACCCTAAATAAAAAAAAATAAAATCCTAAAAGGTATTGTTGTAAAAGAAACTTCATTTCAGATTGAAAATTAAAAATGTGATATAATAATTTATCACAAGTTCAAAAAATTGTTATTTACTTTAAACATAAGTATTAAATGTGCTATGGGTGTATTTTCGCATTATAAAATAAGTTTAAAGTTAATACTAATAGCAAATACAGGTAGCCAAGAGTCCAAATAGTAAATAAAATAAAATAAAATAAAAGCTATTATTTTACTTTATTTTATTTTATTTTATTTTATTCTTAAGTGCCGCTTATCTAAATTGAAGAATAATTCACGTTTAGTTTAATAAATTTAAAATTATGATTTAAAATTATTTTTATTTTATGTGTATTTTTTATAAAAAAAAATAATAATATAAAAAATTATAAATCACGATTCAAAATAACATAGAAACAAACGTCTATTAAAAAATAATAAGGCAATCCAGGTTATACAACAAATAATAAAGATAGGGATGGGTAAAACATAAAGAGAACTTGCGGTAACGATCCTTTTTCAGAACCTACTTTCAGTAAATACCTCTAGTTTGTAGTAAACCACTGATGGGTTTTTGATGGATCATTGATTGATTTTGATGTCGATGATTCACCGAAGCCTTTAGAAAAGGAGAAAAGAAAAAAAGATACATTAAAAAAAAAAAAAAAAAAAAAAAAAAAAAAAAAAAAAAAAATTTAAAAACAAAACAAACTTGACAAAAGGAGGGACATTTGCTAAAAATATACTTTACACATGCACGTAAACGAATATTATACTTCCGTTACATTCTGAGCTAAAATCACAAGGAGGACCCATTGACGTGGAGGAGGTTTCTGTGAAAGGCAACAAATCAAATATAAGTTTTACAGCAAAAACAACATTGTGAAACAAAACAAGGAAAATCGATATAAGAATCTATTCTACCTGTATCGTCATCCAAGATAAATCCAATATTTAAGCTTTATCCATGAAATATTTGAACAGCTGTATTGGGACTAAAAGAACCACGAAATATATCAAATATGCAACCCCCAGTCGAAGAACCCGACTTGGGTAGAATAGTGGAAACAACCCAAGAGGAATAGCCAAGAGATCACGAGCAATAGTGACCACACCTTGTATTTGATTGAATTCACCTTCCACCATGCCAAAATATTTTTTTTATTACACAATATTCTCATGTACAACCAAACACAATAATGCATTATTCTTGAAAATTTGAGACAAGATTCTTATATAGAACTAAATACAGTAATATATTATTCCTAGGAATCATATTACCTTCCATCTCTTTTCTAAGAATACAATTCCTACTGATTACTGCGTACCAAACGCCCTCTCAGTATTTTCAAATAAGTACTTGTCCACCTCATTCCTAACCTCGCCACCATCCACTTCATGCTTCTTACAAACTTTGATTAAGGCTACCAGAACTAACAGTAGGTAAATTTGCAAGCAACACTCTAGAATAAACCTCATTGTATTGATCGAATCTCTGGTGCGAAAGTAAAATACTTTCATATGCTTCAGCTGTTCAGCAAATACATCATAAAACTATTCCCAAGTCTCACACAAATTGTAACTTGTCTCTGGAATCTAAAACATTGGAAATAACTAGTACAAATTAGATTCTTTTGGGTCCCTCAATTCTTGTTAAACTTGCTTTTGGTCTCATTGCTATCATCATTTGTCAACAAAATCAACTCATTTTGGATTTCAAAAACTTCTAAAAGATGCAAATTAGATGTCAACAACTTTCATTTTATTTTCAAGAAAAGGTAAGTAGAATCTTCAAAACAACTCTTGCATTTTGCCAATCAGTGTCAAGCTATGGTCCATCTCTTTTCTTCCCATCCTTACAAACTTCCTTGAACTGTAAACGGCATCAAATTCCTACTTTTTGAAACTTCCTAGCACAACTCAACATCAAGCTAGTGACATTCCATCTCGTGGGTACATCCAAACACAAAAGTCCCTTGCACACATCCCCTCATCTTTTACACTTTATATTTCAACGACCTTGAGGATGAAGATCTAATGTACCTCATAGCATTTCAAATGCGAAAGAGTAAATAGTCTTTTTCTTTCATTCCTTCAGTCACAATATGAAGAAACTTACCAGCCATAATCTTTTGAGTTTACAATATGAGCACAACATTCATGAATAAACTCACCACTCATCACAAAGCTCCCCTTTTTATCCTTATATTTTCCCTTTATGTATTCAATGGTATGACACCGGTTTCGTTCTGGCATTGTCAACTGTAATCACAAAAAGTTTATGAATATCCCAATCATTAAAACATGTCTCAATCTCCTAGCAAATTATCTATCCTTTGTGATCAATGATTCAATATAAATTAATAATTCTCTTATGCAACTTCCACTCACTTTCCAACCAATGGGTCGTGATGCAGATTCAATAAATCCGTTGGATCGAAGCCTGTGTCTGTAGTGAGTGACAATCTCTCTCTTCAAAACATTTCTTGATCTATTTTATCATCCAAATACAACTGTGTATGTCTCTTGCAGCTCCCATGTGGGATATAGGATCAAACCTTAGTTGTATAAATGCAGGGGGTATTTTCAATTAGGGTACATAATTCAGGGTGTAAAATGAACTCTTCTCAAAATTCTGAGGGCATGTTGCAACAAGATACAAAGTTCAGGAGTCATTTATGAAATTAATCCTTTCAATTTATAATGCGATGGAAATGTGATTAACTCTTTTAAGATGCACAAAATTGACTAACCTAGAATATTAGCCACTAAGTGTAAATCCAAGTGAAATGCATAAATAATTGACCACTTGGAAACTCCTCTCAATAGCATAAAAATCCCTCCCATTTATATTTTTGCAAATAAGCTTATATTTCCAATTTTACAACCTAATACCCCAAATTTAACTTTTTCTTCCCTTACTGTAGGATGGCAACAGGGCAAGAAAGGGCAAGGATGAGGAATGACTTCCTATCCACATCTTTGCCCCTCAAAACCATTCCCTTACCCCCCACCCCCACAAACACATTCCCCTAAGGAGAGGTTGGGCTGGGTTGAGGATTCCCATTATAACAATTTAAAACAAAAACAAAGTACGAAATTCACTATAAGCATTAATTTAAACCAAAATCAAATATTGCACGAGACAAACAAAATTCTAAACACATGCAAACCATATCTTAGTAATAAATTTCACGAAAGGAATAATAATGTTTAAGAGTTAATATTGTACATTTTTATTTATATAAAATACATAACGTATCAACATCCGGGTAGGATGGGGTGGGCAGTGATAGAGCCAGGAAAATTTTTTAGGAGGGGTGTGATTAAGCTAAAGTTTTGAACAAAACTACTAGGACAACCATGTTTTGTCTAACTCTTATCTTTTTCTATGCATTTGTATCTTTTATTACTTTTTTCAAATTAATCAAGTATGTAATTGAATTCAATTCACATTTTAAAGTTTAAAATATGCAAAATTATGAATTTATATAGCAGTGTAGTTGCGTTTTTTCTTTATTTGTATTTTTTAAATTTTAAATATGAGTATATTTAACTCCGCCTATGCGTTTGTATAGCCGGTCCCAAGTCTAGGTAAAGGAAGAGGGTTGCGGTAGGTTGACGGCCAGCGTAAAAATAAGTCACTCTCATGGATTTTACTTATACAGAATTTGTTGTTGTTGTTCTAAATATGAGTATGTTTAAAAGTCAAATTTTAGGGTGTAATTGAAACATTTAAATAAAATGAGGTATAAGCATACTAAAAGGAGGGATAATAGAAACTTTTTAGAAAATCTACGTACAAATTGCAATATAAAATTTTGGGAGGCAAATCAAAAGAAAAATTGTAAGAAATTAAGTGGACGTTTAGTTCATGAATTCAGAATCATGATTCAGCATCATTCTCAGTTTACGTGTGTTTTTTATGAGAGAAATTATTATGATTCGAATCATGACACAAATTCTCGTACCAAACACTCCTTAAACTTTTGGGCAAAAGTTGAAGGAAGTGCCTTGGGCCAGAGGTGGGGCAGTCACCCCCCAAGCCTAAGGTGGCTACGCCCCTGGGGACGGAAAGTGCTTCCCACGCTTCTGCCCCACCCCGCCACAATTCTGGGACAAGATTTTGTCCCCATCCTTACCCTCATCCCCAATTATTGTCCCCCCGAAAAGGATGGGGCTCCGTCCCCATGGGAATACTACCATCTCTACTTGTTAAGGCATTGGGGATATTCAAATTAAGCATAAATGAAACATCTAATAGGTCTTGACTTAAAAATTGCTCATGGGTCTTTTATTTTCTTTATATCATAGGGTCTTGTCTTTTTTTTTTTTTTTTTTTTTTGGGTACTGCTTCCATCTTTTTTTACGGATCTTTTTGTATTCAAGTTTATGAAAAATATGTAGTCCTCTAAGCTCTCGCCACTGGGATGAAGGTAGTTTGTTTAGATACAAGAATTTATAACATTTTAACAGCGTTTGGACATGATTAACAAGGGTAGATTTAATACTTTAATTGATATTCCCTAATCTAACCGTTTCACGTGAAGGATTTGCAATAAAAGTCGAATTCATAGGCATGGGGATGTTTCTTGAGTTAATGTAAACTAATAATAAAAAAATAATAATAATAACGTACTGAAAATTTGTAATTTCAGTAAAGAAAAAAAGGTAATCCGAAGTGTGTAATCCATTCTTTAATTTCAGAATACAGGCTGTGTTAAGTTTGGCGTTACAAAAACTTTGATATTCCTATACAGCAAGATGCAAGCATTAGTTAATGTTTGATGTTCTGGAAACCACAAAGGGAAAAGAAGTTTCTATGCATTTGACATCTGGTAAGCTCTTCAATTTGGGCGGTCTTGTGAAATTGATAGATAGTTTATTGGTATTGCGAGTCTCCTTGTTAACATTTTGCAGTCCCTTTATACATTTATTTATGCAAGTGTATTCTTATCCGATGAATATGATGCGAGAACTGCATAATAGAATTTTGGGTTAATTGTAAATTTAGCCACAAAAAAAAGGAGATTGTATCACTTTTTCCTCTGAGTCAAAATAGAACAAGGCTCCTCATGCTCACCATAAATTACAATTTTGATACTTCCATCATTGAGGCATCAATTCTTTTTAACAATTCAATCACATATGGCTCACATGATTTGTTGGCTAAGAGCAATTTTTTAACAGTTTTAATCACTTGTAGGGTCACTCAGACTTGCAAAAATGTTTAAATCCCCTTAAAAATTGACACCTCAATAATACAAGTATTAAAATCGTAACTTTTGATAATCTTAGGGAGCATTTTATGACATTTTAAGTTATAGAGTTTAAAGTGAGACAACTTTGATTATTTGCAGCACCGTGCGGGAAAAGAAGGGGGCAAGGGGGCTGCAAATTTAAAATTAACCTTGTTCTTTTTGTTCGTTTTTTCTTCCATAGTAGAATTATTATATACATGAAACTAGAATCATTTCTCAGCATGCGGTTCATCCTTGTTCATAGTTTCATTAGCAAGAATTAATTCCTCGCCATCAAATTGGTTGTGAATTGACGAATCTTTCTAAAAGCCCGTTTAGTTCGCTGATTCGAATTTTTAATTCGAGTTTAAATGTGACTTTATGTGAAAGTTTTTTACTGTAACAAAAAAATTAGATGTGACTATTTCTGAGATCTTTCATTATAGCAAAACTCGAATCGGTGAAATAAACGAGACCTAAATTGACGACCCATTTCGATGTATTTTGCTTTCCAAATCTTCTGATTGTGCTCCTTTTGGCGTAGTTTGTAGAGTTTTTAGTCTCTTGGTGTGACACTATAGCTCTAATCTTGATGCCTATTACTCTTTCCTTCTACTATAAGAGTTGATAATTCATTAGTGAAGTTCAAGATTGTAGAAGTCCAAACGAATGAGAATGAATCCGCAAAGTAACCACAGAACCTTTCCATTCATTCGAACAACTGGTTCTGCTACAAGCTTTTACTTGATTAATATTAATATTGAATACAACGCTGCATAAAATTTGTTTTCTACTTTTAATGGGCTGTTTATTGAGGATAAGTGTGAAAATATCTTAATCATTGTCACCTTGTCGGCCAGACAAGAAGCGGATAGTTGTGGCATACAATGGTGAGCTGCTGCTGCCGCTGCAAGGAGTACAGGACAATGTCATGAGCATTTTCTGTTAAGCATTACCAAGCCCGGCTCGGCTCAGCTCGGCTGCCTCACGGCAGGTGGGGCACCCATAAGAGGATCCACACCTGGTGATGTAGTTGCAAAGGGTTATGGATTCTACAGTTTTCCCAACAAAATTTGAAGCTTATTTAGGCCCTGTTCACTTCGCTAATTCGAGTTTAGAATTCGAGTTTTTTTACAATAAAAAGCTCTCACAAACAATCACATCTAACTTTTTTATTACAATAAAAAACTCTCACATAAAGTCACATCTCGACTCGAATTCTAAACTCGAATCAACGAAGTGAACAGAGCTTCCTGATTTAAATTTTTAATTTAAATTAAGATATAATTTTATGTGATAATTTTTTATTATAATAAAAAAATTAAATATAATTATTTTTAAAAATTTTTTATTATAATAAAACTGAAATTCATTTTCAAACGAAAGTTTTAATTTTCGAACAAAAGTTGACCTATAAATAGTTGAAAAACAGACTTCTTTTAGTTATGCTTTCTGATTTTGTCGTTTTGTATTTGGTTTCGCTGACATTAAAATCCATTTTCGTTGATGATGCCTCGTAATCACTTTGTCATTAAATAACCTTTTGTTTTTTTCCCCCCTAAAGGTATTATTATTCGATATTTCCTCATGTTCAGTTATATATAAGCTCTTAAATTTCACAAGATACTTTAATCGTGGCATTCATTGGAATTTTCAACCTTTCGCCACATTTTTTTAATAGAAAATTATGGTATCATACCATATATCGTTTAACTTTTTTCTGCAAGAGACTTTGTAATCTAAAATCTCTTATATAAATGTTAATATCAATTGTATATATAATATTAAAAAATATATTATAATATATTATTTTTATTTTATTTTAATATATAATGTTATTTAAAATGTTAAATTTACTTTTTTTCATACTCATTGGACTGTCTCGGGTAAGCTGTCCTACCAGTAAGACTAATTTTTTTACCGTTAAATCTGATTAAAATCAAATGAAATTAAAAAAATTTACAAAATAGATAATTTTTTATACAAATCTGACGATTAAAAATGGCTACAAAAAATAAAACTATCAACAGTGCTATTTTTCTAATCTTACAGGAGAAACTCCCCACTCATTAAGCTTTAAAAGTTATAAAAGAAAAATTTTATTTTTAAAATAATTAAAAAATATAAAAATTGCAATGATTACATAAAAAAATAAATATTTCAACCAATAAAATCAAATTTCAAATTTTTCATATGCTATACTTGATGAGAAATTTATCATAAAATATAACATATAAAAAATTTAACACAACAAATAATATTGCATTAGAGAGTGATTTTTGTACTCAAATATTAAATTTATAATTAACACATTAATTATAATATTGTATTAAAGATGTTCTAATTGATGCCAAAATTAGCATTTTCTAGCAGGCCAAAAATGCCAATTTTTCCACGCTCTTTTCAAAAGCATACCCCGGTTTTAGTTTAGGGGAAGATCTGTTTGCTCGGCGACCCTTTTTCTAGATCAATATTTTTCCCCGAGACTCCTCTTTTTTTTTTTTGTCTTTTTTTTTTTTTTTTTGGAGCTCCTGAAAGATGTTACAGTGAATGTTAATAGTTATCAGCTCTTGAAGGATCGGATCATCCTAGTGTGATTCCTGAATTAAAGACCTACTATGCAAAAGGGAGAAGAATTTCCACTCAACCCTAAAGGTTCGTTTAGTTTGCTGATTCGAATTTTTAATTTAAATTAAAATATGACTTTATGTGAAAACTTTTTACTGTAGTAAAAAAGTTAAATGTGACTATTTTTTAGAGTTTTTTACTGTAACAAAACTCGAATTCTAAACTCCAATCGGTGAAATAAACGTAAGCTAAATTTTCTACGTTTGACTTCAATTGAAAGGATTTTCTCCCCTGGTGATAGCAATAATCTTCAATAACTTCATTTGCGATCATTGTTAATCATCGACAATCATTGTCAATCATCGACTGGCATTTAATATATTTAATGCTTGTTTAGTTTGAGGGTTCAAATCTCAAAATTTACAAAATTTATAGCAAAATTTTTTAAATTTAAATTTTTTATAAGAGAAAAGACTGTTCAAAATAAAACCCAGGTGGTATGAACCTTCAAACTAAATATACACAAGTTTCAGTTGAGAAAAGAAGACTTCGAATTTTTCTTTTTTCTCCTTTATTTGCTTGGATCTTTATCTCATCACTTCATAATAATTAATAGTGGAATGAACTGTGTAGTGTTTAATTTGTCGGGATATAATTTCTCATTTAATATACTTAAGTTCCAAGTCGAGAAAAGAAGACTTGATTTTTTTTTTTTTTTTGTTTCTTTTTTCTCTTTCATTTGCTTGGATCGTCTTGTATCTCATCACGTTATCATAATTAATAGTGGAGTGAACGGCAGTGTTTAATTTGTCAGGGTATAATTTTAAGATAAATGGAGCACAAGCTTTACTTCAATTGTATCAAAATATGTACATACAGCACTTCGGAAGTATTATTTGAGTTTGAATTCAAGGAATAGAAATTGTGTTGAGAATTCCAGCAGGATAAATATTGAAGTTAGATGAGAGTTCCGGAAGTAAATTGGTGGAAGTGACATTAGTTTATTTTCTGCCTTAGAGTGATCTCATATATATTTCAAGATCAAAACATTACTCATTTGTAGGATTATTCAAGAATTAGCTTTATAAAATTAAGGGTTCAACAGGGAACTAGTTTTTGTCTGTAGGGAGACTCCACAGTGGGGGTGGGCAAATATCCTCACCCACAAGGCGCGACGTAAGGACAGCAGAATTGAAATTGAGCATATACCCCATCAATTTGATGAAGAGACTCCAAGTTACAAAATATAACGTTGTAGTATGGACAAGATGCTGCGTTAGAGGGAGTAGAAACAGAGAAAGTGAGGACAGCGCGAGGCCATATGGCAGATTTTGAAAATCATCGTTGATATTAAATATAGAAAATGGGGAGCATATTTTGAAGGAAGCAAATATGACAGGGTTCCGAGAATTGCAGATGTATTTTGGTTAGAATCAAATTGAAACTGGTAAAATGGGGTTGGGGTCATGTCATGAATTGTTCAAGTGGTGATTTAGAAACAGCAATTGGCAGGAAGAACGAAGTTAAGTAGATTAAGAGGTCATGAGTTGCTGAATCACTATTGGGTATCCCAAACAAAGATATGAAGTGTGAAAATAAAACGATATAACGATTTTATCATTTACCCACCTGTATGATGAATTTCATGTGGGTAACATCATTTCATCCATACTATTCTGCAAAGTTCCATAACTTTGAGCCTCTACATTAGATCGATTTGGACTGCTCGATTTGAATCCAACAGTCCTTACACCGCGCCTCATCAGCGAGGATTTTTCCCTTCCCCACTGATCTCCCTTGTTTTCATTTTCCTGTTTATTTTATTGTTTGATAGGAAGTTTTTCTTTTTTCTGTGTTCTATTTGGAAAAGAAGATATAAAAATTACATAACAAATAAATAGTAGTTGTCACAACCAAGAAAAGTTCTTAAAATACTATTCTGAGTCTATTGACATACCTCAAAGAGTCTGATATATTCCAGCAGCCAATATGCCTAAAATGCTCGACTTTCTTTAAAGTTTTCCAAGGAAACACTTTCTCCAGTGGAAAGTAGCAACATATGATTGTAAGCCACAACTGCGAGAGTGCATTAATATCAAGGAATCATACCCATTCCCATGCCAGCAACAAAGTTGTCAAATTAGTTCTACCTCAAATCTCATTCATCTTCCTTGATCTGGTTACTGGAGAGACACTTTGTTCAAGATGGTAAGTGGTAGGCAAAACCAAAAGATTTACTTCACTGTTTGGAGAATGGCGGCTGACTGTTATTAAATTTTCCCCTTAAGACTCCTGAAGAATGTAAAATGAATCAGGTAACAGTGACTTCAGCATAATTTGGAGCTGTATTGCTTTACATAGTCATGGATTGGAAAAACTAAAGCCTAAATTTTTCTTAATCTGGTGTCAGACTGTGATGTCTAGAAATATGAATAACTAATTAAACAAGTGAAAAGCTGGAATCACCTAAATGAGTTGTCATGATGGTCCCGTAAGAATGAACGCATGTAGCAGGCTCTGAGCTGCTTGGGTTTCGTCAGGTGTACCGGATATGACAATGATCCTGTCACTTGAATCGGGATGAGGTTCATGAACAATGACCCTAGCACCTGAAATCTGATTAAAATAAGAGAGAGGGTGAGGATGGATTAATTATAAGGGAGAGAGATTTTCAAAACAATTTTGAAAGTTGGAAGCGGTTACAGTATACAACTAATAATGAGTACTTTTTGGGAGACTTCAAAGTTGGTAGCAACATAGTATTCCCTCCTCGGACGAATTAAATGGATTTCTAATCTCCCCACCATCCCCAACATGATTGATACAAGGAAGTTGGAGAATAACTAACTCAATCTATGTCCTAGAAGTTCAGTTGAAAGCCAAGTAGTCTTCATAACAAACTAGAAATGCAGATTCAAAAAGACTCCTCAGGAAGGGTTACTGACAAATAAGGTCAATTGGCTGATATCCTGGCCCCTATTCCCAACACAAAAATAAATATAAAAGTGAAAACAGAAAAAAGCTCTGGAAGCATTACTAAATGGAGTCCAGTTCAGTAGTACGATGAGTAATCTTTAACCTCGACAGAGTCTAGTTCAATAGAAATACAAGGGTAAGGTTTTGCAGTAGACTATGACAGCCTGATGCAGAGGTCAGAGTTAGTCTGTTTCTACCTTTAAATGGAATGTACAAGTGATCTATTGATGTTACTCAAGGTAGACATAGAAAGAATTTCTGTAAGACTTCTATTTACTTGGCCCATTTAGTTTAAGACCATTAAATATTCAAGACTAATGTTGTTTAGTCAAGGTCGACGTTTATTTACTCAAGGTAGACATAGATAAACCCAATTTAAAAAATCTTGATTTGACCTAGTGGGAATCCTTTTCTTCCCTCCCTCCCTCCCTCCGCTTACTAGGTAGACACCTAGTGGGAATCCTTTCCCTCCCTCCCTCCCTCCCTCTGGCTTTTAAAGTGAATAGATTTAAAGGTTTTCTCTTAAGCTTCACTAAAACCGTGCAAGTTAACAAAATTCATCAACTTAAATTTACAATTTTACTTTCAGTATGAATAATCAAAACTTCTTAATTCTTATTTAACTGGAATGGTCCAAACACTTATACAAAATTCCAAATTCCAAATCCGAGCAAGAGAAATCTTAATACCCCATGGACAGTTATCCTGAAAGCATATGGACATAGTGGTGACAATCAAGGTTATAACATACCGAGCAACAAATTGACATCATGTGGTCAGGTAACTTCAGTTTCATTTTCTTTTATTACAAGTACTAAGCTGACTTGCTGCTCTAGCTGCCTATTTGAGCTCTCAAAAAAGAGCATGCATGGACAAAGCAAAGTCAATGAAGGAATGCTATATAACTTTGAAATGGGAGTACCTGTCTTAGCCGAGTTAAGTTGTTACCATTCTCCCCATATACAGAGCCAATAACATTTTCAGGAACTACGATCTCCACGGTTGTATTTGTGACAATAGCTGTTTTGCTTCCACTATTAACACCAAACAAAAGAAATTCATAAATACAGGCTGTTTTCATAGAAGACCAGACACTCAATATTTTTGTTGCTTTTGTATCGTTAGATACTTTAAAATACAGGTATTTTATCTAAATGAATACACTCAATTGCACGATAAGTACAAATTTGCACAGAATTCAAAAGAGTTCTTTTCAGTAGTCTATCCTCCATGGGAAACCACAAAATGCAGGTATGTTCTATTTCAACGACTAATTATATATAAGATAAACAGAGTGTTTCTAGAAAAGCCACCTATCTGATCATACTAGGTGTTCATTATGACCATCTGATCATTAGAGTTTATTTATTGTCTAATGTGTATAACTTGAAAAATGAACCACCATTCTTAGTGGTCCGAGAAAGATACCAAAAAAAAGGAACCAGTGTACATTTTAGCTATTATATAAGTTCCATAATTCAAAATATTCTCAGTTGAGAACTAATAGAACTGAGAAAACAAGAATATTGCTTAGTTACTAGTTCACTGGCACAAACATAAACAACTCAAGTATAAAAAGAGTTCATATGCACAGGTATTCCTCCCACTTCAAATAGTAGCCAAAGTCTGAAGGCTGATCTATTTCATGGTACGGTTTCCAGTATTCGTACCAATCTGATCAAGACTCAGTAATCATGCAAGCAGAAGCAATTCTATACCTATTTACAGCGAGGCCCAATCTAGTAATCGTTATGCATTATAATGTATCACCAACCTGCTAAGTTCCAAACCACCTTTCAGAGAAGCTAATCCCCTGCCGGCATCATGGATTCCCCTTGTACTAACACCAGCAACCATATGCATGCTAGCATCAGGGATTCCCCTTGTACTAACTCCTGCAACCATCTGCAAGCAACTTACATGAAAACATTATTAAGAAGCTTGAGCTCACAGGACTAACACAAAAGCAAGAAAAGAGACCACACCTGAGATGTCCAAGCTCTTGGTGAAGGAGGATGATCTAAAGTGTAAGACAGCCCAAGATGATCCAAGCTTTGATCACGTGTAGGATGTAGACTGATGTTATGATTAACACCAATTGTTGGAGAAACACTAATTCCAAGAGGAGCAGGGTCCCTCGTTCTTTCATAAGGAGCAGTATCAGCTAATAAAGATGACGCACACCTTGCTCCAGCACTTTTTACAATACTGGATAAAAGGTTATCTCTCAATCTACCAGTGGCATTGTACAACGCGTCTTGCACGCTTGAAAAATCTCCTGAAATCTGCAGGGCAAAAAAATGAACTACTTATGCTTTTCACAAGTTCAAGATTCCTAATATTAATTCATTGAAAGAATTCAGTCGACTGGGCCCACTTAACCCATAATCCCATGCCTGGAGAATAAAAACAGAAATAATCAACAAGTTTTGTAAACTAAGGAAAGAGACAAACACCTGCACCACTCCATCATTCTCTGAGACACACTTCGGGACCTGGTTACCTCCTAGTACTCTTATGTTAGCACCAGTTACCTTTCGGATCTCTGAAACTATTGTACCTCCCTTTCCCAATAGGCAACCAACTTGGTTTGTCGGGACTACAAGCCTTGCAGTAACGGATGAGCCTTTCCTTGAGCCAGATTCTTGCCCCTTTTCTGTGCCTCCATCAATTGACCTTGAGAAAACAAGAACCACGGCTTTCTGTGCTGGCGAGTATCTTGATTCAGGGTTCTGCAGATTTGAAGTACACATTGATCGTAGAACAAATAAGCAACACGTTCACCAGATTCTTTCTTTCTTTCTCTTTGTAATTTTGGAATCCAATACACCTAATTTGGCCACACACAGAATGAAGGTGAAAATAATAGAAAAAATTGTTTCATAACAAACCTCTGATGCGGTAACCATAATCAATCGCTCATCACACTCGGCCACAAATGCTCCAACACTCACAGTAGCACCTGTTTCACTCTGAAGAGCCTTGACAATTGCGCCTCCCTTTCCAATTACACCCCCAACCTTATCATTGGCACATAGAATCTTAAAGACAATTTCACGCTTCTGTGTTTTTGTGTTAAGTATGGGGACCATTTCAGACTCTATTGACAATGGACGGACCCCCGAAGCATAACCAATGGAACTGCTTGGAAGGTTGATGGAGCTGGTTTGAAGGATAGAACTGCTTGGATGGTTGATGGAGCTGCTTGGCAGATTGATAAAGCTGCTAGTTAAAGTAGGAATCACTGAATGCCTCTGAGAAATATGACCCACATGCATATCCACGGGTAAAGTCTCTTGGGGAACTGTCTCAAGATGTCTGCTTCCGAGCACTCTTGTCTTACCGGCCTTTGGACAATCTTGAATACGGAGAGAGACAGCAACAAGCGCTTTCTTAACAGCCAAGACATCCCCTTCTATCTGTGAGACAATTGAATCACATTCACACAGAAGCAAGAGTTAAAATACGCTACTGAGATGGATGAAGAATTCAGCAAACCAATCAGCAAGCGTAGTAGCAATCACTCGATACAAATAAAGGTAGCATCAGCAGTTTTCAACCAGAGAAGAGTGCAAGTAGCAAGTTTATTCCTCTATTGGGGTACAATGATCCTTTTACTTCATAACCAAGAATCAAGCTTCACGAGTTTGAGTTCAAAACCAAAGTCCCCGCCGAAGCCTATAATCGTTAGGATGCATGAAAGTTTCTGTTATGAACCAACCACAGGGGAGCAAACTACAAGCTTGACTGTTCAACTAGCTCCTCACTGTTATTGCGTGCAATAATCTGATCCCAGGACCCTTGCCATATGCTTTAATTAGTTTAATACTAATTACAATGGCATACCATAACTGCTCTTCAGCTAAAGAATAATAGTTTCAAAATAAGCTAGCAAGTTTTTTCAATCCCAAAGTTTTTATCCTCAAATTACCAATTTTCTACAGCTAGAATTGTTTTTTTTTTTTTTTTCAATCTCAAATTTACCAACTTTCCGACAGCTATCAAGGTTCTCATATTTCTGCAATAAGGTTTTATACCATAATTCACACAAATTAAAAAACCACAATAGATGTACTAAGCTCACAAAATTATTGAATCACAAATATCAAAAACCAAAAACTTTACCTCAATCATCTCGTCTGTAGACGCAGCGCAAGCCGGAAGCTTCTCCTTCAAAACCCTAATTTTAGTTCCACTGTCCTTCCTAATCTTCTCCACAATCTTCCCTCCCTTCCCTATCACCGAACCCGCCTGCGCCACGTCTGCCAGCATCCGGCACGACACAACCCCGACGCCGACCCCGACCGCTCCGCTCTCCGCCGCCACCTCCAGAATCCTGTCGAACACCCTGAGCAGCGCCTCCTGCGCCTTCGAGACCTCCATCTCCTCGTTCTCTCCATCGCCGCCGCCGCTGCCAATCGGGCTCCTCAACGCGATCTTCACCGCCGCCGGGGCGCTCGCGGCGACGACCGTAATGATCCGGTCCGGAACCTCCGCGGGGGCAATCTCGACCCGGATCTTGGCCCCGGTAGCCTGCTGGAGCTGCTTGATCACGCTCCCGGACCTCCCGATCACGCCGCCGATGCGCGACGCGTGGCATAGCAGGCGGAACGACACGTGTCCCGGCGGAACGACGAGCGCCGCAGCCGCCGGAGAAGAAGATGAAGGCTTCTTGGAGCGCTTGGAAGGTCCCTTTAAGGAGTGAGTGTTGGGGTCGGGCATCCGCTTCGCTGGTACAGTCACAGAGCCGCTTCCCATAATCTTCTCTACGACAACAACTTTCTCTCTCTATAATATATATATATATATATGTATATATGCGTGTGTGTGGGTATGAAGAGGTGGTTTCTCGCTCTATAATAAGGTGAATTTTTGTGTGGTTTGGTTTGGTGGCTCTCTCTGTCCACCAAGAGGGGCGGAGACTTTTAGAGAGAGAGAGAGAATGGGGAAGAAGAAGGAAAGAATTTTGGTGCTAAAGTGCGCCGTGTGATTGGGATTAGGGTGCGCCGCTGAGGATTTGGTTTGGTGCGTGCTTGTGCGTGGCCACACACACATACTTACGGGTCATCGGACTTTCGCATGACAGGATGCGCTTAGGTTTCGTTTGTATTGCTCATTCATTCAGAACTTAAATTAAAAAAGTAAATTTATATAAAATATGATGTGTAATAAAAAAAATAAATTTAAATGTTTATAAAAAAAAACAATATGATAAAAAATTTTAGCTATGATTTAAAATTAGGAGACCAATTAATTTTATGTAAGTTAATATTAACCTTGAAAATGAGTAACAATAATATGGAGAATGTCTAATGATGCTTTTCACATATATGCACCTTGATAAATAATTAATGGGTATGTCTTTTTTTTTTATTAGTAGATGTGATCTAAGGACTTGAATTCGATATTAGTGAGAGTCTATGTGGTCTCTTCCACATCTAATTATAACCCAAACACAATAAAAATAATTATAAAAACAACCATTTATTTTACCAAAATATAATTTATCATCTCATCTTTTACATAATAAAACAAATACCCTTTCACTTAAAAATTTATCCTAAAACAAATCTCACTAGTTTTTTGTTTTTTTTAAACCGCCCACTACCCTTGACGGTAGAACTCGCCGTCGCCAGAATAGTAAATTTTCAACAAAAAAATAATAATTTGCACAAATGATTCCTAATTTTTTTAAAATGTGACAGTTTAGTGTCTAATCTTTTTAAAAAAAAACGACCCCAACCTATTTAAAAATGTGCAATTTGGTCATTTCAGTCAAATTTTTAACAGATTCTTACATGCGAGTATCACGTGCTTTTTTTTCAATTAAAAGACAAAAATGCCATCAAAACCTCACACCCATGACCTTCTTCTTCCTCCTCTCCACCTCCGGCAAGCCCCATCCCTGACTAGCCCTGACCCGACGAGCCCCATCCCTGACTAGCCCTGACCCGGCGAGCCCCATCCTTGTCATCCTCACGCAAGGGCAGAGAACCATTTCGAGCCACTCCCTTTAGAAATAGAGAAGAACTACTATTGTGGTCTGAGGGTGCGGTCAAAGATGCAAAGCTTGTGAAATTCCCAACCTCTTGTCCACTGAGCCTACACATAGCCATTATACGTATTCTATCTGAGATTAAAATCAAAATCTTTTCCAACCAAATGCCTTATCCCAAAGCTCAATCCATTAGTCAGTGAGAATTGAACAGAAAATATAACAGAGCACTATATAGGAAAAATAAATTTATGGTCAACAACCCCTGTCAATTGCAAGAAAAAAATTCAAAGAAAATAAAATACAGCAAAATATAAAATATTGAATTAAGAACAAAAAATATGGAATACCCATAAAGCAATAAAGTAATCCAATAATTTCTTTTCAATTCTCAAGAAAAATACAAAGTTTTCATATATAGATAAACAGATTATCATCTAACAATATAATTCTAAATTACCAGAAGATATAGACACAAATCAGAAGCTGAAACAACAAGCAAATCGCGTAAAATAACTCCATGAGTTACTGATTTTTAAAGAATATCACAAAGATAAAATCTTTAATCAATCGCAAGAAAGAACAGCCAAGATCGATCCGTGCTTGATCTAGACAAACCTAAATCACACATAATCGTTCAGATTAAGAACCAAAATCAATGAAACTATAATCAAATCCAACACATCTGAGAGTTTCAGAGAAGAAGAAAAAAAAGTTTATTTTTAGGGTTTGAGGAACATCGAAAACTCCATCACGCGTATCATACAGTCTGATATTTTATCAAAATACATTCTTTAATAAGATCACATGCTTTACATATGATTAATTCGGTTAAAAATTTAACATAATTTAATAGAAATAACAAGATTGTACATTTTTAAATAGATTAAAGATCGTTTCGTCTAAAAAGAAAAGTTGAGAATCAAATGTCACCTTTTAAAAAAATTAAGGACTATTTGTGCAAATTACCTAAATAAAAATCAAATTTCGGCCCTTTTCATTTCACCGATTCGAGTTTTATTATAGTAAAAAACTATAAAAAATAGTCATATTTAACTTTTTTACTACAATAAAAAACTCACATAAAATCACATCTCAACTCGAATTAAAAATTCGAATCAACGAACTAAACCGACCTTTTAATACAAAACTCTGAAATCTTCCCTCTGAAATCTTCCTTGAAACCGACAGCTCGACCGGCAACTGCCAGTACCGACGGCACCACGCCCTTACCAAAACAGTAAAAAAAAATGCACAAAAATTGAAACAATTCACAAAAATAGTATTCTCTAAAATCAATTCACCACTGCCAACTATTGTGTTAATGTTGATTATATCTTTACATAAAGAACACCAAAATAATCACAAGATTAACGGTATGTTTGGTAGAGAGATTCGTTCTCTGATTTGAATCGTGATTTATAATTTGTTACAGTATTTTCTCTCACAAAAAATTCACGTAAATAAAAAATGATTCGAATCACATTATTTGAATCATCCAACCAATTACTACTCTCATTATCAACTTCAACAAATACACGATTTTGTAAACCAAAAATCAAACTAATTTAAAAAATTCACAAAATTTTTACTTAAATTAATAAACTTCTCCGTGTATAACACATTAGCTTCAAGATATGAAAAAAAGGTGTGAAACCCAGATTCCGACATGAACCCATGCAGGGGTCTCGGTGTTCGTTGTTTGGGGCGCTCGACCCACGTTCGCGAGAGACCCATCGAGTGGCGAGAGTGATGGGCTCGGAAACGGACCCACAGAGTGGCAAAGATGTTGGTGTGGCAGGGGTGGCAAGAGTGATGGGCTCGGAAACGGACCCACAGAGCGGCGAAGATGTTGGTGTGGCAGGGGTCGCAGACGGAGGATCGACGAGTAGCGCAAGGAAGGGCTGAGCTTTCTGACGGCAATGAAAGCTGAAGGTGTGCGGCACAAATTCTGGTGGTTGTGAAGCTGCGTGGAGGGCCGAGGTGCGTTCATGAAGAGTGGGTCACGATCTCCAGTGAGCCGAGAGGATCGACGAGGAGACGAGAGACGCATAGCCGCAAAGTTCGACCGGCGCGGGGGCTAAGGTTCAGACAGAGACGCAATAGATCTCCGGGGGGGACTGGGTGGTGGTAAGGATAAAAGAGGATCTGATTAGGTGCCAGCGACGTGAGTGGAGATCCGGTGGGGAAGAACCAGGGGTGGCAGGTGGTGAAATGCTCCAAAAAAATTTAGGACTTTTTAGTGTGTGTTTGAAACCCTTTTTTAAAATAATCTTCGCGTACTTTGAAAAATAAAAAATGAAAATAAAAACAGACGTTTATTTAAAAAATATTTTAAAAATAAAAATAAAATAATGAGAATAATTTTTGTGAAAGAATTAAAAAATAATTGAAAGTTATTTTCATTATTTTTAATTTTTAGTACTTATTAAAAATATTAAAATATATTAATTAATAAACAAGATTTTATTTTTTTTATCATACTCAAAACAATCTCTTATAGGATGTTTGTTTCATGTATTCGTCTCTGATTTTGAATCATAATTCATGGTTCTCTACAGCGTTTTTCTCTCACAAAAAACACACGTAAAATGAGAATGATTCTGAATCATGATTCTGAATCTATAAACCAAACGTCAACTAAAAATCAACTAAACACAATTTTAGAATTCGTTCTAAAATAATTCTTAAAAAGATCTCATTTTTACTTTTTATTAAAAATAAAATCATTTTAAAACTAATTTCAAACACATTCTTAATTTATCTGATGTTAGTGTTAGTAGTTGAAGGGTTAAGATCCAAAGTTTATTGGACGCAAATTAATATTTTTATGAAATATAGGAGTTGAATTATAATTAAGGAACATAAAAGTAAGATTGTAATCAAATGCACTTTGTTCTATAAGATTGTAATCAAATGCACTTTGTTCTATTTTAGTTTTTATGATCACAATCATTTTTTATCCTTGCTTTTTAATCTGATGGCCCATATTACACACCTACCAGTAGGGAAAAAGTGAGTCACCTTGCCATAGATTTGTCCATAATTAATACTTCATCTTTTATCTTTTTAGAATTTGTTTTTTTGTTGTAATGCAATGATAGATTATAAGGTCTTAATATCCATCAGTAAAATAACTAATGGGTTAAAAATGTATTAATCAAGAATATAGATTAAAAATTTAAGTCCATGCACTTTAAGAGTAAGTTAACAATTTTTTTCTTAAAATATATTGTCAAATTAGATTGGGTTGTAAGAATTCAATTAAACAATTTATCTGGTAAAACTTAATTATGGTATTTTCTTTTTCTTTTGGATAATTTCAATTTAACATTATGTTATAACGAAATCATCTTTTACTACCTCGTGTTCTCGTATTTTTAATAATTTTAAATTGGTACCTCAACCTTATAAAAATGGGAGGTTCTCTAATACTCTTAGTGTACCGGTAGGTCAGGTTTTTTTAACCGTTAAATTTGCGTATTTTTACGTGATTTTATGCAAATTTAACGGATGAAAAATTTGACCTACCGGTATATTAACGTATTAAAAAATGTCCCTTTAAAAAACCAATTTTTGGTGCTCTGAGACCTATTTTAAAACATGAAATGTTGATTTTGTCTTTTTAACAATTTGATGACATTATCAAAGAATAGATACACGACATACATCATAAAAGTTCGCTTTTTTATAACATAAAAGTTGACTATTTACACAATGAAAATCAGCATGAGAGAGGGAGAGAGGATATTTAACTATCTCTTATTTCGTACGCCTGAACTCTTCTTCTATAGTGTCAAAAACAATGAATCCAAAACTCAAAATTTCACTCACAATTCAAAACAGGTTGCTATTCAACACATCTGATGAGCTGGTAATTTTATGGTTAGAACAGCTATACAGCATCAAACTTCATACCCAGGATTCACTTTCTGTTGCACGTCCCCATAACTCTCCAACTCCTCCATGTCCTCTAAACTTCCCAAGAAAAGTGGCAGCCTTTGGTGCAACTTGACTGGTTGAATTGAAAGAATCCTGTTCTTACCATCGGATCCTTTCCCTCCAGCTTGCTCCACTAGAAAGCTAAGCGGGTTTGCTTCGTACACCAAACGAAGATGGTCCCTCGGATTCATTGCAACACCGCCATACAAAAGAGTTCGATGCAGATCAGCCACCAGAGAACAGATGTAACGGGCTGAGTACTTCTTGGGGTACTTTCCTTTCCCTTGCCTTACTGTGTCTATGTATTTTCTAAGTCCTTCGGGCCAGTCAAAGTATCGAGCATCATTTACAGAATATATTTGACCTGTGGAAAGAGAGATAACAAGTAGAATATGAAGGCTTTTTCTATCTTTTTATCTGTAACGGGTCATTTTCAAACCAAATTAAGCAGAATTCACAGCATTGAAATGGTTTGCCAATCCATTTTGATTGAAGAAGAGTAAAGTACTTTTCAGGTACACCACTTGAAGATATGAGATAAAGAAATTCTCATTCCCTTAAACCAATTTTAATTGATACTTGTGGAATTGAAAAGTACTAAACACATAAGTTATCAGTGCATATCATTTGCAGATGAGCTAAACTCGAAAGCTTTAAGATCTTCAACAGAGTAAATATTTCTCCTTTAATCTAGTAAGAGAAAACAGCCATGACCGCGAGCAGCCATAATATAGTTCAATAGCAATTGATATTCAGACAGCCACTGCATTCTCCTGTAAAAATTTTCCCAGGAAAATTACAGCCAAATTAAGCCAGGGAAATTAAATTCATCTCTTAAACTTTATTGATACAGGGTTTTTTTTTTCACAATTTTTGTGATATGAGTTTATACTGAATGGATCTTTTTCATTTAAAATTCCAATTCCAGATACACCATCAAATGTACTATATTATGATGTATTGGAAGATCTGATATGCTACCTCGAGGAGGGATTTTTATGTTTGGATGTGTGAGAATAAAATCTCCAGTCGAATGATCCAGAGTGAATGCATGTGTTCCTGAACCAAAACTTGCACAGAATATTGTGGCAGATGAATAGAGTGCATAGCCAGCAGCCACAAGCCTAGTTCCACTCTGAAGTGAATTCAGCTGAGCCTTTTCCTCCATTGGCAGGTGATCCAGTTCAACAAGGCGGTTATAGATCCCAAAAATCGTTCCGGTGGGAATGGAAGCATCAATATTTCGAGAACCATCTAGAGGATCCGTTACCACCACAAAGGGTCCATCATCACTTATCCAAATTGGAGCATCATCTTCTTCAGAAGCCATGACGGCAACTTTACCGGAATTTCTAAGAGATGACAAGATGATTTCATTCTGTAAAACACGAGAGACAAGTAAAAACAATAGCATTGGGGAATAGTTGCACGATTTTTTGTTTATGGAAACTAAAAGGCCAAATATTTTGCTTTTTGGAAAACACTAAAAACCGCTTGGTGTATTTTGATATTTCCTAGTTTTATTAGCAAGGCAATAGTAAACAAAAATGTGACCACATAAGGCCTTAACTCGGGGCAAAGAAAAAATCAACAAATATCTTCGCTAAAAATCAAGTATGGATGTGTCTTTTACAAATTAAATCTTGTAATCACTATACTTTCATCTAAGTCTTACACATAGATAAATTAAGCTCATTGAATGAACACCACAACAAACTCCCACAGAACCTTTTTTTTTTTCCTTTTTTGGATAAATTCCGTTGATACACATTATTATAGCAGCAATCACATCATATAGCAAGAAATAATTCAGTGCCCAGATGTAAATTCTCTTCTAACCAAGCAACTCAGATTTTGTTTTTCCTTTTTGGTGAAAAGGGATTTTCAGTCATTGAAGAAACTTTCGAATATTTAGTACCACAATAGTGAATGTGCATACCACATACTAGGATCACAAAACTTCTTCGAGCAGAACATATTTGTAGTTTATGAAAGACTAATTTTCTAGAGAATTAGCACAACTTTGTAATGTATTCTCATTTTCTTTTAACTGCAAAATAAATATATTTAGGGTAATCTTGGCAAATACCCCTTGAAAGCGCATGGGTCAGGATTTTTACCCTTTACGCTTGATTCATAACTTTTTTAGTCAAATAATTACACTAACAAAAGGGTATTTATCAAGAGTAAGGGATAAAAGTCCAGACTCATACACTCTCAAGTAGAAATTCTCCATTTTTTATATATTTATGAATCTAATTACAGTATCAGGATGACAGTCAAAATAAATCTAAACCATTAAAGTTTAAAATTTGTGTCGTTAGTTAATGTAATTCGCTTAGAAAATTGCTTGTACTAAACAATTAGTTCTGCCATTTATGAAATTACAATTAGTGTCGCGTCATCATTTCTTCAGGATAACACACGGATATCTTTGTATTTGTCATTGTTACACTTAGTTAGAAATTTATGGGCAGAATTATCAAGAGAAAACACACAAAATTATGGACCAAAATGCTGAAGTTGTGTAATATTCCTAGCCTGATATTGGCGGGTTCATTTCAGACAAAATCATTTATCTGGGCCTAGTTTCGGTTTACCTGAAGACCTAGTTGGCTTAAGACTGAGCCCACATAAGAAAATCCCACTTTGAATTTGGATATGATGTATCCCAACTATAATCAGTTATCAGTCATCCACATGAATAAAAGAAAGAAAGAAAGAAATCTAGTTCTTTCTAGTGACACAGATAGTAAGTACTACTTGGTGGAGATGAGTTCAATTACGCATTTGGCATCTTCAGTTGGCAATACATGCAATTGCAAACCCAGCAGAATTAAGCCTAAACAACAACAATTACACTCAAAGTCAAAACACAACAACAACAACAACTAGTCTTATCATAACATCAATGCATGTCAAAGCCTCAAGCAGCTACAAACAAAAACTTCTGCAACTAAAAGAAAAAGTAAAGCCAAGAGGTTTGTTTGGGAGGAGAGAAGCCATTATTGGTGCACAAAATTTAGGGCCGTGTTTAAGTAGCATACATAGTTTAGAGAGCATTTATAGAATTAATAATCCTAAATTTTATTGTTAGTCAAGTCCCACCTACAAAAACTAACTTCTAACGAAACACACATCATTCAACGTTTGACAAATTGGAAAATGCCGGTTGTGGGCATACCGAGACGATATCGAGCGGCTTCGGCGCATCCCTGCCGGAGCCACCGGTGGCGCCGGCGGGGCCTACCTGCTTGCCGATGATGAGGCTGGAATTGAAAGGAGAGGCCACAAGAGCCGCAATTCTCTTGCAAGCGTATTGCAAGTGATACAACAACACGACCAGATCATCTCCGGCGCCGATTCCGCCTTTGCCCACGTAATCCATCAGCGTGGAAACCCCATTTTCACCGCTTAAAGAGGCCACGGCTCGTGGAATTAGTCTAACGCCAACCCCAGAAAGAGATGAGAACGCCATTGATCCTCGTGTTCGTGTGTGATAAGATGTTGTTCTTGAGCAGGAAAACTGGTTTCTTGGTGGGAAAGTGTGGAGATTCGAGTGGGAAAATAGGGGTGGGCGTGAGGATGAGGATGATGGTGGGGGTGTTACCGTTGGGATGGGTTGCATATTATGTAATGAAAATGAAATAAATGGGTATATATAAGATTATATATATATATATATATAGAGAGAGAGAGAGAGAGTATAATAGTTGCGGAAGTTAACTAGAGTAGAAGGAACATTGATTGTGGGTTTTCGAGATTGGGAGGAAGAGGTTTCCGGATTCAGAGACAGCTGGATAAGGAGTTTTTGGTTTTCGGGAGCTTGGGGTTTTTTTTATTTATTGACTCGGGAGCTTGAAGTATTTGGAGGAGTTGCAAAATTGGAAAACAATCCAAACAAACAAAGGGAAAAAAAAAGTTGGGAAAATTTCGCTTTTTTTTCTTTTTTTCTTTTGTGGTAGGAGGGGTGGTTTTAAAATGATTGTTTTCGCTTGGGTTACTGATTTGGGTATATACTATACCCTGTCTAGAAAGATGTGATGCGAGGTCTTTGATTTGATTTGATCTTTTTTTTTT